GAATAATGTGACTATTACTGGTGACTCTAGTGTTTATTTTCATTTCGAGGGTAATACGCTCATTCTCTTCCTGTAGATGTCTGATACCCATCCATGTCTTGTGTCGGGTTGAATACCTTACAGAATAGCCGTGTATATCAGGGGCTCTTAAGAAGTCTGGAAATCCCAGGTTGTGGCCTGGGCTGTGGTGGGCACTTGGAGCATGAAAGCAGACGGAGACAGCATCATCACAGCCCCAAACAGTGATTTTCTGCTTCTTTTCACCTCCCACTTGCTACTCTAAATTACTCTGCAGCACTCCCTGTCTGCAGTGGCGGTAGTTAACCTAGGGCGTGCTGACTAGTTCGTGGACTCTGACCCCCCTCTCCACTGCCTGCTGTGGTCGCAGGCACTGGTGCAGCATGCCTGGAGGCATGATTTCTGCCACCCCACGCCAAATCCCAGCTTCACCGTTGAATTACTCCATGATCCCTGGCAAGTTAGACTAGCTTTGCTTACCTCAGTGTCCTTGTTAGAAAACAGGGAAGAACTGTCATCTCTCCTGCATTTTCATAAGGGTCAAATGAGGTATACAGTTCTTTGGGTACACACTGTGGCAGCTAGTAACACACTAGTCAGGAGCCAAGCACTGCGGTATGTGGGCTCAGGCCCATGTGGCTGCTCTGCCCTGCCCCCAGAGTCCACGGAGAAGCTGCCTGTGCAGAGGCCCTGCACCATTTCCTGCTCTCTTACAGCTGCTTTCCTTGCATGAACAACTTGCTTTTTCTAAGGAGATTTGGAGATTGGCATTCTGTCATGGTGCTTCTACCCTGAACTCGGGAATACATTTTTTTTTTTTTTTTTTTTTGCGGGGGAATGGAGAGACTTTCCTGGAATAGCATCTGATGAAGACAGTTTCAAGCAGAATCCTACCTCCCTTTCAACTCTGGCCTCTGGTGTTTGAGTCACATTTGTTATTCCCTTTTGTCTTTACCACAGCATTTCAGATGCCGTGGAAAGCTCCCTGGCCCCGCATCTTTTCCCTAGTGTTTTCTCCCGTCACATAATCCTCTACTCTGACTTTAAGGAGTAAATGCGATGTTTTTCAGTGCATAATTTATCCCCTGCAGGCTAATATGGTTGTGAACAGCAAGAACAAATCTTATTAAAGTTGCTAAGAGAAATGAAATAACTCATTCTGATAGAACTTAATAGAAGTGCACTTAATTCATATTTACACCTTCTCATCTGCTCTTTGCATGTATTTAGCATTCCTTCCAGGGGAAATTATGATCGCGGCCACAGCAGTGCTGTCTCCGTCCCTCCAGAGAACTATATCAGCATCTTGAGCAGGATAATTACTCCGAGCGGCGTCCCGCGCGCCCCCATGCCGGCGCACCTGCAGCAGGGAAGAGGACACAAGTCCGATCCTGACATGTCGTTTTTATAAAGCCCATACTCTGAATAGCTTGAAAAGCAATAACAAATTGGACTTTGGGTGGGGAACCTTCTCAGTGAGTCACATCCGAAGCTAATGTTACAATGCTATATTACTTCTGTTAAACAAACAAACAAACAAACAAACAAACAAAACCCTCAGAAGTGTTTTTACTAGTGGCTCGACCTGAAAAGGAACCATTTTTCTATTGTGGTTGTCAGGTGGGTTGTTGCTCTCAAATGTTTTGTCAACATTAAATGTTTTGTCCTGAGTACCCTTAGTTACAAGTTTGCTGGAGGGAGGCTGTTGATAATCAGAGTTTGCCTTCGCTTTCTTTATCTATGTAGGTGGGATGGTGGGTCTGGCAGAGGCCTTCATCTCTTGGACCACTAGGTTCAGGGTCTTGTGTTGTTGAGGGTCTGATCCTGGTGAGGGTCTGATCTCCAGTGTTCTGGAGTTATTATGGAGGTTTGAAAAGTAGCTTTTTTATTAAAGAAAATGATGATAGCAATAGGCGATACCCCATGGGTACAAGGAAAAGACTGAAGGATAAACTTCACAGGACAAAAATAATGTCATGAGCATCATAGAAAAGGTGCATTAATCATAAAAATGTGTATATTGAACGGACAATGGATTTATCTTCAGTAAGACCATCCTGCATTTCCTGACAGACTGGTCATTGATCAAGGAGTGGAATGTGTTATTTTACCAAATGGGACCCGAAAAAAAAAAAAGATTTATTAACTTCTCTTTTGCTTAGAAGAGTAGGTTTCCTATGTATCGTTAGTTACTTTATCATGAGTAACATGTCGTGTCATCTTGGTGCTTATTAATCACCCCTTCCTTCAAGCCAACTATAAGAATAATTAGATGAAATTGGTGGCAGACCATCGCTCCCACATTCATCTTCTTAAGCTGGTGTCAGAATCATTCGCATACTAACATATCCCTCTCTAGAAATATTGTATGAAATGCAAACCCCATTCTTGTAGCAAGCACAGACATAGATGGGAAGACTGGTGAAATCAAGTGGTTCTCCTCAGCAGCAGGCACACATCCGTTGACAGTAGCTTCTGAGCCAGCTGTAGCACTGGCATTTCTGTAAACTTTGGATATGATTCGTCAATTGGTGGGGGAAGTGGGGGGCTCCTGGCCATCCTGCTAGATGTCCTCATGCTCTGAGAACAAGGCTGCTGTAGCCTCTGCTGTCTGGACCATTACAGGTCATAGGGGAAGAGGGAACAATGGGATAATGGGAGCCCTCACTGGCCCTTAAAAACCTCTGCCCAAATTGGCAGTTTAATTGGCCAAAGCTAGTCTCATGATGGTCTCCAATTACCAGGAGGCAGGGAAGAGTCATCCTGTGTATACCGGGGGTGCAGATAGTGGGAAATTGATGTACATTCATGTTGACTAACTCTCGGCCTTCTGGAAATCAGCAATAACAGAGTTCTGATGAGTCTGGTTGACAGGCAAGAGGGAATATACAGCGTAAGTAGTAATATAAATAGAGTCAGATAAGGTTTGTGAAAGTAAGAGAATGCTATATATGCTCTGTTCAATTTGTTTGAAAATTAGGACATCATAGGTGATTTTCTAGGGAAATGGAGATGACCACAATTGGGTCAAAGTTAGATCCCTGAGTAGCAAATGTTCTTCAAAAAAGATTCAAAGAATCTTCAAAGAAAAAAATATACCAAGCCCTGTTGTTTTTAATTAGTGAGTTCTACCAAACCCTCTAGAAACAGAGATAGGCACAGTAAATATTTATGGGTTAAAATGGATGAACATGGCTGTCATGAAGTTGATATTTAAGGTAAATGTGGATGTCACTCATAGGTGAATAATTGTTGCAGCAATCCTCCAACAATGAGCTAACAGAACCTAGTAATGATAACTGTTTCTTCTTCAAATCTGCTCTGTCACTCTCTAAAGGAAGCAGGCCTACTTGTCTTGTTTAAAGTTGCAGCCTGCAGCCTTCCAAACCACTCTCTCCTGCCTTCTCCCACAGCATGTCACCTCTAACAGATCATATAATTATTTATCATCTCTATTGTTTATTCTCTTCCTCTGCCACAAGGTAAACTCCACAAGGGCAAGGACATTCGTTGTTTTGTTCCCTGACAGAAGCCAAGTAGCTAGGACAGCTGGTATTTAGGAAATAATTTGTTGCAGAAATGAATTAATTCTAAATGCAGGATGGGATCCTAGAATTCATCATGGAACAGAAAGAGACATTAGTGGAAATTAGAAATTTGAATAAAGTTAGTAGTTCAGCTATTGGTATTATGTAGAGCTAATTGGAAGTGATAAATGAGCCTAGGTGTTAAGTGAGATTTTTAACATGGAGTAAAGTTGGATGAGAGTATATGAAAACTATATTTTCTTGCAAACATACCTATAGATCTTGTTATTTTAAAAGAAAATTTTATTACAAATCATTTTATCTAAAGAATAATATGCTCCAGGATTTGAGAAGTAAAATGAAATTTCTGCTAACATGACACTTAATGAGTCCCATCCTGACCATACAACTGAATTCTTAATCTTTTTTTTTCAATCATAGCTCTTTCTATCTTCTAAGGCATTATACCGTTTTCTCATTCCTTGTTGTTTGTTCTCCTTGTGTCTGTTTATTTGTATTCAAGGACAGAGAACCTTGTTTTCTGTAATATACTTCAAGTGCCCAGAACAGTGGCTGGCACATAACTATTCATTAATTTTGAGTTGAGTGGATTAGTAAGTATGATGCAGGTTATGTTAAAAAAAAAAAAACCTATAGATTTGTGTGTATGTGAAAATGATTAAGAAAATTTGGATGGAGCCAGCTAAATGGATCTGTCTGTTACTGTTTAGGATGGACTAGTTATTGACTCAGTGGCCAAAGGGCAAGACCAGGACCAGTATTCGGTGAGCGAGGTCACATGCACAGAAATGAGAGCGGAGCCTCTTTTCTTTGGGAACTTGTGCACTTGCCTAGCCTAGTCCCAGAGTTTCAAGACTTTTTCTTTGTTTTTATATAATGTGAAATTTTACCATTTTAATTTAGTCTTCTAAAAATTCAGAGGAATGAAAAAGGGAACAAACCTAAAGCAAGTTATTATTAAGATCCCTTAACAGTTACTAGGAAATTATCTTGTTTTTCTTTAAATTCAATGAGAATTAAGCATTTTCCATTCTCTCTGGGGCCAGAGTTACCCCTGATTTATGATATCAAGTATTGGGGAAAGCAAAAATCACACTTTTAGGTCCCAAGTGTAATTTATTACACTGAAGCAGAGATGCAGAAAGTCATACCTAAAATAAACATCTTTGTACAAATCTGTACATAGGAAAGTACAAAGTAGGAAAACTTGTTTGCTCTTGAAACTGGAAACATTAAGTAGGTTTTTCATTTTTTGTTGTGAACTCTGCATCACTTTCAAGTGTGGTCTCTGGGGAGTGCTTCATCAAATTGCAAAAAGATAGTCCTTTTGTCATTTGCAAAGAGTGAAGGCATGGGGGTCATTTGATCATTTGTCTTTATTATGATGTAACTGTATCTCCATATAATTATGGTGGAAATTGTCATCTATTCCAGGAACATCGGGAGAACATTCTGGGCAACACCATGCAAAGTGTGATTGCATTGCTCAATAATCTGGTTGCCTGCAAAGATTCGAATATGAAGCTACTTTATGAACAAGGTAAATGACTTTTAGAATTAAATCTTTGATTCCATTGAGTTTTGCCTTTTTGTAAATCTTCCCATCTCATACAGTAAAGAGTCAAGAAGTACTAGTTAAAGTTGATCAATTGAAATAGAAGTCTAAGGATTCATAAATAATATTACCAGCAAAAATCGAAGTGTGTTTAGATCATGATAGTTAATTCATTCTCTTTCATGGCACAAAATCAATAGCCACTGCTTAAAGGTGATAAACAAGAAGTAGACGTTTAAGCATGGTGTTTAGACTTATCTCTGCCAATCAAAATAAAAACAAACATGGTCAAGCATCTTGGAAAATGAGATTAGGTTCATGGTGACTTTAGATTTTAAACAAAATTAAGAGCGATACAGAGATTTTTCCATATAACCTCTGCCATACACACACACCCTTTACCCCCCTCATTGTCAACATCACTCATAAAATGGACGTTTATAACCAAAGGGGGACCAAAGGCTACACAGTTCACTGCAGGGTAAACTAAGGCCTGCTTCCTTCATTCTTGGTGTTAAGCATTCTGTGGGTCTAGACAAATGCATAGCGACTTCCATCCATCATAATAGTACTATACAGAGTATTTTCACCACCTTAAAATTCTGTCATTTTGCCCCTGCCCTGCACATCCCACACCTGCTCCTGAGAACTGCTGACATTTGACTGTCTTCCTGATTTTGCCCTTCCCAGAACGTCTTACAGCTGGAATCGTGTGGTATGTTGCCTTCTCACTTAATAATACACTGAGTGGGCCAGTTTGCCCATTCCTTTACTGGAGTACACCTTGGCTATTTCCCAGTTTTGGAAGCTGACTAAATCCATTATGAACATCTAAGTTTCCATTGTAAAGATCTAGGTTTGTGTGGACATAAACATTTGAACTCTTCTGAGTAAATACTAAGGCATTTGATTGCTATTCTTGCTGATCATTTAGTTATGTAAGAAATCATTTAGTTAAATAATAACCAGACTGTCTTCCAAAGTGGCTGTATCAATTTGCAATCCCACCAGGCATATATGAGAGTTTCTGTTGCTCAACACCCTCACCAGCATTTGTTGTTGTTAGTGTTTGAATTTTGTTAATTCTAGTGGATATGAGGTGGTATCTAATTATTTTAATTTGCATCTCCCCATGACACGTGACATGCATGATTTTCTCATTGTTTGTCTGCCATCTGTATATCTTCTATGTTGACTGTCTCTCAAGGTTTTTTGCCGTTTCTTAAATGGACTCTTAAAATGGGTTTTTGTTTTCTTAGAATTGAGTTTTAAGAGTTCTTTGTATATTTGGATATTTTATCAAATATGTGTTTTTGTAAATATTTTCTTCTAGTCCATGGCTTGTCTTCTAACTCTCCCTTTGCAGAAAATAAGTGTTAACTTTTAGTGAAGTCCAGATTATTCTTTCATGGATTCTGTTATATCTAAAAAGGTATCACCATACCCAGAGTCATCTGGGTTTTCTTCTATGTTATCTTCTAGGAGCTTATACACTTTGTATCTTACAATTAGGCCATGATTCATTTTGAATTAACTTTTGTGAAGGTATAAGTTCTGTTACTGAATTTCTTTTTTTCTTTTTTCTCGCATTACTGGTATTTAGTTATATCACCACTTACCAAAGAGATTATTTTTGCTCTCTGTATTGCCTTTGTTCCTTTTGTCAAGTTGACTATATTTATGTGAGTCTAGTTCTGGGTTTTTAATTCCGTCCATTCATCTGTCTATTCTTTTTCCAATACCACACTTTAGAAAAAAATAATAGTTTATTTTTACATCATTTTGTGCCTTTTCCCATCTCAGTTGTAATCCCCAAATACCATACTTTTGATAGTAAATCTTGAAGATAACATTTTGAATTTTGTCTCTCTCCTTCAAATTTTGGTTGCTGTTCTGGTTCTTCCTTTCCATGCAAACTTTGAAATTAGTTTGTCAATATTTGTGAAATAATTTGCTGAAATTTTAGGCTTCCATTGAAATCTATAGATTAAAAGTATAACTTGTTAAGTCATTTGTATGCTCTACCTTTATATTAAAAATAAAATCTTTCATTTGAATTAGTCATAAAAATAAGAACTTGGGTAAAAATCAGGCACAATAAAATAAACCACTATTCTGAAGTCTAGCCCCCGGCCCCAACTTTCCCAACTTTTTAGAGTTCTCTTTGTATGTGGTCATTATTCTTGACTGTTTTTCTTACTCCAAGAAGTATTTATTATTGCATTCCCAGCAATAATAAATACTTCTGACAGTTGAGAGGCTTTACTACATAGAGGTCATCATTTATTTTTTGCTTTTTTTTTTTTTTTTTTTGAGATACAATTGACATACAGCATAGTGCCAAGCTTAAGGTTTAGAGCACAGTAAGTGCTCTAAAGTTTAGTTAATATTTATCTTATATGGATAACAAAAAAAGATAAATATTGCTTAAGACCTCTTAGGGCCTGTTTTGTTAACAATTTTCAAATGTATCATTCAGCAGGGCTAACTATATTCACCTGTTATAACTTACATCCTTAGTACTTTATTTTATAGTTGCAAGTTTGTAACTTTTGACCACTTTCATCTAATCTTCTCTTCTCTACCTCCAAATCTGCAGCTATTATTCTTTTAAATTGTAGTATCCTATGGATTATGTTATAGATATGGCATAATTAACCAATACCCTAGTGGATAGGACTTATCTCCGGTCTTTTGCTATTGCAGGCAATTTTGCATTGAATACCCTATGCACTGTTTACATGGAGCAAGATTCATAGGATAAATTCCTAGGACTAGAATGGCTGGACCAAAGGGTCCAAATGCATTTGTAAAATTCATAGTGATGCACCAGTTCATACTTTTAGCAAGGCACATGAGACTTTGCTTTCAGATGATTGTTACATTTTCCTATTTGTTTAAGGCTGTATTTGTTCTTTCACGGTCTTCTTTATATAGTGTAAGGGCATTTCTTGGTGTTCATCTCAGGTGTTTCAGTTCTTTTGCTTGCTTTCAGAAATAAGGAATTTTCTCCCAATATAGCTTTCAGTTATTTTTTTAGTATGTGTTTGAAAGTTTTTTCTTTTTATTAAATTTTTTTTTTTTGGTAATAAGTTTATAAGTGGTTCTTAGTTTTTCACTTATTATTAACTATTGCCAGTAGTGGTTTTTTTTCTTCAAATTTTTTATGATTTCCTTTCTGCCTTTGGTTTCATTACAAGATTCAAAGAGAATGTGATGAGATAGAGGTCATTTGGTATTGCCTCAGAATTATTTTTCTGGCTAAGCAAGTACCCATCTATTTTAATTTTACTTTATAAAGTCATTTGTCAGATGCTTTCTGGTATCTATGAAAATGGCCAAGTGATTTTTCCTTAAATCTATTTATGTAATTTATTATATTTAATTACCTAATATTAATTCATTCTGGTGGTTGAGTATGTAACTACACTTAATTATATTATCTAATTATACTAATTAAGTTTTTGCTAATATCTTACTCAGGATTTTCTTATGCCATTCAGAGTGTGATTATTTTCCTGTAGTTTTGGTTCTTATTTTTGATGGAGGGAACACATTATTTGCTAGATTTTGGTGTTAATGCTAGATTGTTTCTTTTAAAAAAGGTTAATTTTCTTTCTCTAAATCTGAAACAATTAGGGTATCATTGACATCTCCTCCTCCTAGCTAGAAGTTTGGTAAATTCCCTTTGAAGCTACCACGTGGTAGCATACATTCATACTCCTTGTAAACCAATGCTAGTTCAAAAAAAAAAAAAAAAAGGCTGTTTCAAAGGATACTCATCTGTTGAATTTACTAGTAAATCCAGCTAATTAAAATCAGCTGTCATGAATACCCACAAAGAATTATAGGGATGTTTAAAGAATTAAAAATGACGGTGTAAAAGTGATGCCTCATCAAACAAATAGAGTGTATATGAATGAAGCAAAAATTTAAAAGAACCCAATGGAAATTCTGGAGTTGAAGCTTACACTAACTGAAATGAAAACTTCACTGGAGGGTTTGAAGTAGCTGAAATAAAGAATCAGCTAATTTGCAGATAGGTCATTGCTATTGGAAAACTGCATGTAGGTTACTTAGATGAAATTTTAGAAAGACAAACCATTGGAAGCATCTGAATTATTCTTTTTCTGTAAAAAAAAATTGTTCTTTTTCTGGCTCATATATTTAGCTGAGCAGTTTTCTCAGCCTGATTTCCATAGACGTTTGGGGAGTACTAAAACCTTGTTTATTATGAAAAAGAATTATACATGTTATACCTAAGTTGGTGGTGTGGTTGCCATTATGAGTCTAGCAAAAACTTTGCTAGTTTCCTGTAAATCTTACTGATGCCCATTCCATTAAAAACCCACCCATGAATCAGTTTAAGACATTCTTCTCTTCAATTTGGGATGTCATTCACATTCTTTGTAGTCCTGTTAGCTACCTGACAGTGGTGGGGAATCATATGCCTGAAACTGAGATCATAGAGTCTGCAGCTCCTGGTCCATGAAAGCATAGGGTTATATGCCTAGGCGGGATAAAGGACAAATTTCTAGGAAGCAGGAGCTTAGGGCATTGAGGAGATAGGCATGAAAGGATCACATATACGGTGATGTTGGTGGCTACTGTGTGGTTGTTGTATTGTGGTTAGCGTAAGAGCATCATAAGAAGCACATGAGGGTTTACCATGTAGCTTAAGTGTCGGGTGAGCTTATTTTCATAGGGACCATTTACATTCATAATCTTATAGTCCATTCCCATCTCCCCAAATCTATAAGCTTCATTTCTTGTAGTACATGATCCTATGCCAGATTCAGGTGAAGTGAAATGGGCATCACAAAAATGATTTTGACAAGAGTAGTATTAGGGTGACACTGATTTTTTTCTTTCTCTTTCTGGCTTATCTCACTAAGCATGATCTTTTCCAGCTCCATCCAAGTTGCTGCAAAAGACATGTGTTTCTCTTTTTTGGTTGCTGAGTAATATTCCATTGTATATATGTA